CCAATGACCAGTCGGAGAGGTGTTCTAAAACGGTTTACATGAAAAACAAGCACAATAAGCGCCCTCTCTTTCTCTAAAAAAGTCTTCTCCCTCCTCTTTCGCAGACAAAACTCTATTTCTCCCTCTCTTCAAACTGGTATCTTTTTTTCTCTCAAACAAAAGCCATCTTTTCTGTTCCCTCGTTTTCCCTCTCTTCCTCTCAAATTGGTAGTTTATCATTATCAAACGGGTAACTTTCTTCTCATCATCAACAACATGTTCTTGTGTTGGATAATTTTTTACAACAAAAAGATGAAACAGATTTGGAAAAAATATAATATATCAACACAAATTCAAACAAAAAATATAATACATAAACATAAATTGCAAAAACTGTTTGTTTGTAATATATCAACATCAACATAAATTCATTTTCTTTTTTTCTTTTTCTCCTCAATTACTCCACCATTCTTGGTTTTCTCTCAGGCATAGATTCAGATCTACACTTTTCTATATTTCAGATCTAGATGACTAGGTCGTAATGGCAATGGCGAGAAGTGGTATTGATGGAGAGAGGTGATGAATAGCGATGGGCTCAGAATCGTCATCGGTGCTCTTTCGTTTTTTGAAACGAAAAGTCATTCTTCATGCGAAGCACTATTCTTGACGGCAACCATAAGATATCTAGTTTTTGATGCTTCTGCCCGTTTTCATGCTAAGACAAAGTTATATCGTCAACGAACTTGAATGGTTGGATCTTTGCACTACAAGGGGAGAAAGGGCGACAAGTGTGACTGTGAAAGGTTGCCTTTGGAAAAAGGGGGCTGGGGAGGGAAATTGGTGGTCGGCGTCAGCGATAGGATAAAAGAGAGAGAAGTGAAAAGAGAGAGGATAAAAGAGTATGAGTGGGTTCTATTTTAAGAGAGAAAGAGGAGCGTAAGTTGGGGGCAAGTGGAATGTTTTTCAAACAGATTTGGAAAAAGTTATGAGAAGAGAGACCAAAGAGTGTATGTGCGGAAAAAAAAGTGATATGATCTGTTAATAATGACATTAAAGTTGTGGTCATATTTGATTTTAAAAAAAAATATTTCTACCCACCCAAAAAATAGAATCGTATAAAAATGATGAATTTTTAATTTTTTTCATCAATTTAATTTTTAGTTTCTTAGAATTTTTTTTTTTGAAAATAGATTTTGAAAACCAAATCAAACAGAAATTTATAACCATGAAAGTGTCTGCATTATTCATTAAAACAGACCATTACATTTCAAATAACATGCAAGTTAATCAACACAAAATAAGTTGCATTACGACTTTACCATTAAAATGGATCAAGTGTGTAGGTAAGGAGTGTTTATGATAGAATTCTCCTTTAAATTTTTTATCAAAAGTTATATTTAATGAATTTTCAATTTGATAAAAAAAATAACTCATTCTTAATTTTGATGAATATTAATAAAAAGATTGGAGATGGATTTTTTTAGTAACTTTTCATCAAATTTAAAATTGATGAAAGAAATATTTTTGTTTGGATCGTGAGGTGAGAAGAGAAAACAAATGATTATAGTTTCTCACCTAATGTAAGAAAAATAAAAAGAAATAATTATAATTTATCACCGTTGTGTTGGATGAATAAAAAAGAAGAGAACTTCACTTATATTGTTTGGATAGAATAAATAAGAAAAAAAAAATATTATATCATATTTATTTTATTTTATTAAAATAACCTTCCATATTAATAATATATTTTTCTAAGCTTTTTTTTTTAATCATAAATAATTTTAAAAAATTTCATTAAACTGTAAATTATCCGAGGGTAGCCGTGTGCGTTAAACAGTTCAGACCCTCAATTTCTTCGATTTAATCTCACGAGTGCAATGTGAAACGTAGATGAGAGTCCAGATTTGGTAACTTGTATAGAAAATCCATTTTATTACAAAACATTTGCCAGAAAAGGACTACATCACCAGATCTTAGAGTCACCACCTAATATTTTTGGAAAAATTAGGAAACTCGTGACTCATGCCAAGGCCACTGTTCGTCGTAACCAAGGATGCTTAGCTCAGAACCTTAGGTATGAGAGGGGAATGCCATTATTTGAGCACCCCACTCACCTGATCAAATATCAGCCTATATTAAACTATGATATGGGTTTTATTTACTTTATATGTTCATATTTCAATTATTTAATAAATCCTAAAAATTGCTATGTGAAGCATACAAGTATAGACTATGTCATTCATTTTAAAACAATTTGATTTCATGTGTTTTGAAAGAGTTTTGAAGATGTACAACCCAAATAAATTGAGTTTACAAAAAATGAAAATCAACATTATTCAAAATTAAGCGACACAACCTCCATTCACTGGCATTCATATAATTATATCAAGTAAGCAAGTAGTCACATGGTAGGATGCTTAAACATAGTAAGAAAAAACACACAAAAGCGGGATGCTAAAGCATACAAACTTACATATTTACCGACGTCCCACGAACAGCTACAAAACAAAATTAGCAAAATATGTATAATCTTATATACAAAATCCTAAGCAATTCACTCATGAGATGCAATTAAAGATTCGACTTCTAAGATATGACATATGATTCATCTCAAGAACATGAGGCAGCGCACATAATCACATAATAATCAATTAAATCCACAAATGCAAATTTAGCCAAATCAAGATGTATAAAACATGGACGCAAAGCATAGATGGGACGAAAAAAATCATAATATGATGCTTATGCACAAATAAAGAAAGCAAATAAAAGAATAAGATAAAAAGAAGTGGGGTGGGGAATTATTACAACACTTGAAAGAATAATTACAAACAAAATTAGAGAGAGAGGAGGAAAATATTACAACAAAATAAAAACCTCACAAAACACTCAAATAAAAAAAACAAAATAGAAGTTTCATATATCTTTGAGGATTGCTGGAAACTAGTATGCTCAATGCCTGAGGGTTACTCTGTTTTGTCTAAAAGAAGCTAACCGGCCGACCGTATAGGCCAACTGGCCAACTAGGCCTAGCAAAACCTGTCTTGTTACAAAACCGAAAAAATGAATAAACAAGAAATATATAGGTGGCTCAACTAACTACTTTCGGTTAAATTACAACACATCTAATATGAAATTAAAGTACGAAAACAATAGAAGATAGAAAATGCAAGAAAATGAAAGAAAAATTCACCTTGCAAAGAAAAGAATGAACTTCTTGATTTTCAAATTTCATTTTGATCTCCCTTAAAGTTGTGAATTGTGTTTTCAATCCTTCATTCGAAAATTTGGAATTTTAGCTAGAATGACAATTTTGGGTTGTTTAACAATGTGTGTGAGGTAGATAGTGAAAACCCAAATTTCACAATTCATTCTAGTTTTTTTACTTTTGACACAAACTGAACACTCAAGTTGACTATGAAGGAATTGTTGTGATCAACCAACAATGTATAACAGTGAATGAAATTCTTGGAATCCAATAGCAGTGTCCAATAACAGTGTGCAAGGATGATAACAGTGTAATGGAATTCACAGCTCAAACTTCTCAACTTTGACATTCAAAAGCTTAGACTCTCTCTTATCAATCTAGTACTTTTTCATCAAAATCTCTCCCCTCTCCTCATTTCAGACTTTTGTATATAGACAACGTGAGTGGATTATATCAGTAGAGGCAACCAAAGGTGGAAGAGACAGTGGAGCATTACTGTATTAATGGTTTAAGTATTCTCTTTGCTTTAGCTCTCTCTATTTTGAAGGGTCAAGTTCTTTTTGGCAATAGAAGCTGAGTTTGTATGCATTTGGGGCATGAATATATCAGAAAATGGGATAATGGAATGTCCACATGAATTGACCAACAAAATTCTGGATTGACTGTTTTGGAATGATTGACTGGCCAAACGACTGGGCGATCGACCGACAGAGAGGAAAAAAGCCTGTTTTGCTTCCAGCCTAGTTCCGCTCCAATTTGACCCAATTTCACTCCAGGTGTCCCAGGGGTCTTAAACACTTGTCTAAAATTGGCTCAAGGTTAAGAAGTAAAGCTTAAATTCTATTTTTTTTACTGGAGATTTTGTAAAATACATATTCTGATTGTCAACATCGAATAATAAAAAAAAGACTCAAATCTTAGAATTAATCAAAATGAGATGTCTGCATAAACACATTTAGGGCCGGTTTGGCATACCTCAAAAAAGCCAAAAAATCAAAAAATTACTAAAAAAGTTAAAAAGTTATCACTATTTACTAAAAATAAAAAAAATTTAATTTTACAAAAAAAAAAAAAAAATATAACTCACATGTCACGTGAGTTGTACTTTAGCTACCCACCGTTTGTACGAAGGGAACAGGCGGAGAAGCAAACAAGACTCTATTGTTCGGCTTGTAGGGGCCCATCACGGGTCCTGTTTTGATAATCTGAATCATTTAATGTGTAGAATTGTCGAGTACTATATGTCTATAAAAAATCACATTGATCGGATATCGCTAACTACATGATCAAATCAATTTTATACAAAAAATGGATGGTGTTATAATTAACGGTTGACAAAAAACTAATCTGATCAGATAGCTATCGATATTCGATCAACGTGATTTTATATAGTTAACGAGTTTTACACATTGAACGGTTCTGATTAGCAAAACAGAACCCGTGGTGGGCTCTAACGAGCCGAACAACACCGTCCAATTCAATGCCCAAAAAGGAGGCAACCATCTCCTATACACTACTCTGCACACACTGCCAGTTAGGACATCCATCGTACTGCCTATTCTATCATAAGCTTCTCCTATACACTAATTTATATAATTTTTTAATACACATTTTTTCGTAAAAAGTCAAAAAATTATCCCAAACAACCATATTTTTTCCTCAATTTTTTAATCTAAAAATTCAAAAAATATACTTATTTAAGACATTCCAAACAATCCCTTATTTTCCCACCAAATTTTATTACTTTTAATAAAAAACAAAACACAATTTTAATGGGAGTAATTCTCACCATTTCTTGTCTTGTCTTTTCTTTTCTCGTCAAATCCCTCCCTCCAAACGGAAGGGCGGAAAATTCGGTTATGAATGAAAAAAAGTGAGGAAAGTTGTTTTCCCCAGCGTTTCTTATGCCGAAGCACTTGATGCAAAATTGTAAGTATTTAGCTGATCCGATAGGGTACGGGGAGCGAATTTTGCGTGTCGTATCAAAATTGAACCATCCTTGTCCGGTTCCAATCAGGAGCCGATTCATTAACGGGTCCAATTTGCTTCAATTCAACTTCCTCACCACTAACTGTAAGCAATCTCACACTATTTTATCCAAAAAACTCTTTCATTCGATTTTATCTCTGCTTAGTTATTTAATATAGAATTGAATTTTTGTGATTTTGTTTGTTTTGTCATTCATTTTGCTCATATTTTTACGTTTGATTGCAATCTAAGGTTAGGGTTTTGCTTTAAACAGTAATATTCTTTTTAGGTTTGTGTTGGAATTTGAAACCATCTTTGTTTGCTATGGCTGCAATTGAGGTCTCACGGATCATCTTTTTCATTGCTGAATCAAATGGTCCAACAAGTTTTGGTCCGATCTTGTGGGGATGTGTGTGTCTGGAAGGTGGAATTGAGTTTTGAAACTCTATTTTCTCTTCCTTCCACTTCCTGTTTAGCTGTGTCTCCGTTTCTCTCTCTCTATAAGCTGATATGAAGGTTATCAGGTTTATTTAGTTAAGGAATTTAAATGGGCTAATTAACATTTCTGGACACATTTATTTGGAGGGTGCATTCACATACTGTAATAACAAATAAGATTCATTTGAGATTTTATTTTGTTATTGAATTCCATAATGATATTCCTCAAATGGTGGTTCATTTGGATAAAGAATTTCGGTATTTCACAGGGAAAGCAAAAAAGAAGGGACAAGTGAATGAAAAATAATTTTTGTTTTTATTTTTACTTTTCCGTTCACGAATCTCCTCTCAAATTTTTACTTTGCCTCCTCCTTGTCCCGTTCTTTTCTCCGTGGAAATAGCTGTTTATTTGAACCTTTCACCATATTGGATTGAAATCCCCTGCCAAAGCTGCTTACCCCTTCTGTGCTTCAATCACCCAACCAATTGTTTAATCCAAAAATGTTTAACATAGAGAACTCTCCAAATCTACATCCATTCTCATTGTCAAAATTTAATCCCCTGACAGAACTCACCTTTGATCTCCATCCATGCCTTGTTCTAGACAATGTGCTGCCCTCGTCCACATCTGTGCCTTGTTGTTCTTCACAATGGGCATCTGTGCCTTGTTCTTGACAAAGTTAAGGGACTGCAATATATATGGAATAAGTTGTAATGCAGGAAAGGTATCCATCACTTCTCCTTAAATGCTTGACTAGATTTTATGGAATTGGAATTTTTTTCCAGTGTAGTCAATACTGTGGAGACTCATATACAATTATGATATTTTGTGTCCCTTGTAAGGTTAAATAGTAAAAACCTATAAAGTTGTAGACAATACTTTAGTGATGTTTGAGGGAATGAATTATAGACTTGCTCGTATATTTGTCAAACTTGAGGGAAAAAAATTGTTTTGCTTTTGTATATCCTTAGAATTTGTTATAGATTTGTTAAAAGGGAGCTAGTGAGAGATAGGAATCCATTAGAAATATCCTAGTATATTTATTATAGTAACTGAGACAGCCTGGCCATTTGGATATATATAAATAAAGATGACATAAGTCATTATTATAGGAGCATTTATTGGTGGTAGTCTGATTGTTATTATTTATTTTTATTACAAGGATTGTGGGGATAAATACTGTTGAATTCAAATATTATTAAGAAAATTACTATTGGTTATGTATTCTCTGTATTTTAAACTGCAAAATTTGTATTATTGTTAGATTTACAAGGGAGAGGCCATAGCTTAAGTTATGTGCTAGATAACAATGAATCAAAATTTTATGTTTTAACTATTGGTATAAATACTAACTATTTTTTATTAACATGGTATTAGTGTTTAGAGATCATAAATACTATTTATCCTTAATATTCAATCTTCTCATTTAATATCTTGGTCTTGGGGAAATCTTGTCACGAAAATTTTTACCCAATTTCGCATTTTAGATTGAATATGAAGGATAAATAGCATTTCTGGCTTGGAGTGACTTTGTTGTTATATGATGGATATTTGTGGTAAAAATTATCCTTAATTTAATATTAGCCAATTTATTTAAGTAATTAAGTCAAATATTTGGTTTTCATATATGCGCATGCAATCTTGTCCATATTATTTGTACAATCTTGTTATAGTGGCTATTAGTTTCAAGATTTATCTTGCCACTAAATCCTTCTCATTTTATGATGCAGTAACACCATTGTTTGCGTGAACATAATAGCTATATTTTTATATAATTTTTCCTTTTTATTTGCTGATCATATCATTATTTTATATAGAGATGAGTAGTATTTTAGGATGCTTTGCTACATCTTTTTGTGATTTATGGTGGTGTCATCTTTTCTAGGTAAGAGTGAGTTGATTTCAATCAGCGAGGTGGAACTTGTGGATGGTGTGATTGCAAATTTGGATCGTGAGTTTGGCTTTCTCCCTATCTAGTACTTGGGTTTTGCCTCTTGTAAAATTTTGAACATCAAGGCATGTGGGATTTATTGATTGAAAAGTTTGAGCATCAAACATGCTACTACTTGGATTGCTTTTGTCAACGAAAGGAATTTTAGACTGAGAAGCTTGAGAATTGGCTTATTCTTTCTAAATATAGATTGAATGAATAATTATCAATTCATCTATATGTACACTTGGTTTAATCATCTCTCTAGATCAAGGAGTTGCAAATTTGGAAAATACTAGGGAAGGTTATATATTTAAAGACATGACCGATTTTTATTTTTTGTCTCTTGAATGAGTTCATATTGGATGTGTGTTTGTTTCTTTCATATTATTTTCCTTAGTATATGAGTAGTTGAAATATTCTACTTGAGGTGGCATGAGACTTATTATAAATATGCAATTGGCAAACCAACCATGACAGTTGGCGTTAAGCATAAGCTCCTTATAGCATCGAATTAACTATCACATCTTAAGTGGTCATTTCCATGATGTATAAGGCTTACATGAAAATGATGTTTGGTTGGGAGTGCAACCAACTTGTACTGTATACACGTAAACCCCTTTAGGGCTTCTGTGATAATAACATGGTATATATAAGAAACGCCTATTTCTGCACCTGCTTTTACTGCCTGCACAGCCTATTTTTCATTACCAGGCTATGGAATAATAATGAACTATTATAATCAGTATTAAAAACTTGAATTACAGTGATCAGGGGCTTGTTTGGTTTGTTTTTGAGAGAGTTGTTTTTGAAAAAAATTTTGGGGAGAGAGTTTAAAATTTTTTTTGGTTTGTTTGGTTGTATATTTTGGGAGATTGTTTTTTTGGGAGTTTGGGATGATTTGATATTTTGGGAGAATTTGAGTAGATGTGTGTAAGAGAAAAAGTGATTGAGAAGGAGAGAGGAGAGAGAAAAAGTGATTGATTGATGTGTAAGAGAGATAAAATGATTTTGAAATTTTTTTGAGAAAAACTCAAACCAAACAATTTTTTAGAAATTTTTTTCTAAAATTCATCTCCCAAATGCAAACCAAATATACCCCAGATTTTTCTTCAGGGAACATAATATTTGTTTTAACATTATGCGTTTCACAGTTGATTTCTTTTCCCTCATAACTATCTTCTTTCATAACTTTGTTTTGTTTAGAATTGCTACTAAAAAAGTTTAGAAAGATTAATATTCTTTCTATGTTTGACTTTGTATAAAATGTAGTAGTTGTAAAATGTAAAGTTGAATGGTAGTGTCATCCAATATGAATAAGTCATTAATGAATTTCTGGAGATTCCAAATTCTCAGCTTAATATTAATGATAATTCTGGAATATATGCTAATCTAGTTTAATGTGAATTAATTTTTCATTGTTAATAAATTTTGTATATTGTATACACATCAACTAAGAAGTATGGATACGGACACATGACACGACACAGACACGCCGACACCAATTTTAAAAAAAAGCAAGACACAACACGAGACACGTATGAAATATATAATTTTATATATTTATTGTATGTCATATATAAGAATATATCCTTCAAAGATAATAATAAAAAAAAAATATGCAATATAAAACTTAGCTTTATAAATTTACATTATTTTTCTTTCATTATTGTATCCTAAGTTATTTAGTCGAAACTTATAATTAGTTTCATGCTTGTCTAATCAATAGACACGTGTGTTTTAAGCGATAGACAGTGCACCCTCCAAGTGTCCGGGTTTAAAAATTTTTTTAAAAAATAGGACATGTTTTGACGAGTGTCGAACATGTGTCAAGAAGTGTCCAACGGTGTCGTTGTCTGACAGAGATATGACATGGATACACCACATTCTTAGAAGTGTCCGTGCTTCTTAACATATCAATATAGTAGCTTATTATAGCAGAGCAAAATGCAGAACTGTGTTATCTCATTTAACAATTAATTTCAAATTGATATGATACAAACCATGATTAGTTTTCATGATTGCAAAAAGAATAGCTTGAGCTTAATTTGCCGGCAAGCTCTTTCTAGAACCTTTTATTATAGAAAGGAGCTGAGCTGGAATTTTGCTTTTTAAGCTTGTTTTTATTATGCATAACTTGAAGGACCCTTAACTTTTCCGGACATATGAAAATGAAGGGATAAGTATTTAGAGATAATTAGAAAGATGGGACTTGGGTTGGGACATTCATTTGTGTACATGGGTATGGTTCAATTTGGAAGGGTCTTGAAAGAAACAGACTTTATTGTAATCCAATACAAATTAAAACCTAGTCAGTCTCATTTTACAAGCTTACTACCGTTACTTTTGTAGGAGGCTTTTCTTTTCATTCTACATTTGCTGTTTCTGCCTCTCTATATCTTTCCCTTTCCAGTTCTGACTAGGGTTCCCCTTTCGTCTGCATCTTCTTAGCATAGATCTGTAGCCAGCAGTGAATTTTTGCTAGAAAGATCCTTAGACTTTTCGACCTTCTTTTATTTTTCTTTTCCTTTTGTGATGAAATCATTGGCTGATATCTTCAAACATGCATGGAAGGTAAAACCTTAAAGCCCTAATTTTTTTTGTGATTTAAGTCAGAGTCTAATGGTATGCGGCATTACTTCTGAATGTTTCATCTTTGTCATACCTTCAATCAATTGACAAGGGTTTCTTCTCTGGATGTGGAAATTCGTATATCAACGTTTATTTTTGAAAGAA